ATCTTGCCAGGGCACGTCTGAAGAGTTTGAAGATCCGATTCCTGTATCTTTCCAGGGTGTATCTGTTGACGACTAATTCCAAACTCGATTCCTGTATCCTTCCAGGGCACGTCTGAAGAGTTTGAAGATCTGATTCCTGTATCTTGCCAGGGTGTATCTGTTGACGACTAATTCCAGACTCGATTGCTGTATCCTGCCAGGGCACGTCTGAAGAGTTTGAAGATCCGATTCCTGTATCTTGCCAGGGTGTATCTGTTGACGACTAATTCCAGACTCGATTCCTGTATCCTGCCAGGGCACGTCTGAAGAGTTTGAAGATCCGATTCCTGTATCTTGCCAGTGTGTATCTGTTGACGACTAATTCCAGACTCGATTCCTGTATCCAGCCACGAACTGTCTGAAGAGTTTGAAGATCCGATTCTTGTATCTTGCCAGGGTGTATCTGTTGACGACTATTTCCAGACTCGATTCCTGTATCCTGCTAGGGCACGTCTGAAGAGTTTAGAGATTCGATACCTGTATCCAGCCAGGGCACATCTACATAAAGAGTTTGAAGAGCAACCCCTGTAACGGGCCCGGTAATTATCTTTCTTTCTCAGGTACGCAAGTTCTCGCTAAGGAATCTCTTACGCGATCGACACCTAGATGGCATCTATAAGCCCATCCACTTACCAACAGTTCCAAATGGCATTTATAAGCCCATCCTCCTATCCATCATCTCTCCAAATGGCATCTGTAAGCCCATTCCCGCCATCACACTGTTGATACTCTACTATGTGAGTGCAAATTTCTGGGCACTCCTGTGTTCAATCATCTTCCACCTTCGGATCACGAAAGGAACGCAAGCCAATCTACATCCTCATGTCTAAGAAGATTGAACAGGGGCAACTGTTGTACCCCAAAATTTGCCCTCCCATATTCTTCAAAGTTTTGACAAGCATCATCTCAATTTGCTCAAGTCTTCTCAAGGGCTACACAGTCAACCACTCTCCTAAGCCAGTCAAACTAGGGTTTTGGTTCTTGCAAAGAAAGTTGAGGTTTTCAAGGGCTCAATCAAGTCCCATATGCTCATATACATTGTCAAGCACCTACATGTCAAGTTTCAAGGCTCACAAGGTCAAGTTGCACAATCAAAGGTCCTAGTTGCTCCACAATCAACTATAGGGGTAAAATGGTCATTTGGCAGTCAAAAGTCAAAATTTTTGGTCAACATCTTATTTTGAAGCCACAATCATCATTTGATCAAGTCTTGATCATGATTTCACAAGAATGGCTCAAAAATCATCAAGGTGTCAAAAGTTTCTATTTTTGGACAGCTGAAAAGTCAACTGTAACTTGACCAAGGCATAACTTTTTCATGGTTCATCAGAAAAATCCCATCCAATGCTCATCTTGAAGGGGAAGACATTTCCTACAACTCATCTTCACATTCCAAGTCCAAGAAATGCTCTCACAAAAAGTTATCAATTTCAACATTATAGGTCATTTTCAAAAGTCAACAAAAAGGCACTTTAAGTCAAAGACGATAACTTGAGATTGGTAAATCAAAATTACATGGGACCAAAGACATTGGTTAGAGGATTTCAAGACCTTTCTAAAATGTCCAAGAACATGTTCATAGCTTCAAAATTGAGCAAGATATGCATTGGAGAAGTTGGGAAATTTTTGTGAAATGGCCAAAGTCAATTATCCTTGAAAATTCATTTTTGACAAAAGGGGCCCACTTTTTCCACTTGTTTCAGCTTGGCCATGCTTCCCACGTGTCCCACAAATTATTTCAAGATTTAAAATTAATTTTTCCATTTTTATTTAATTTTATTTGATTTAATTCATTTTAAATCTTTTAAAATCAAATAAAAATCAAAGAAATTAATTAGGGGATATATTTTGTATTGAAATGCTTTGATACACCATCATGCACATTCCAAATTCGTGCAAAGGGCTATACCAAGCAAGAATTCAGATTTGACACAAAAATGGAAAGTGGTTTCAATGGAGGTTATGGAAAAATCTTAAACATGAATGCAAGGCTTCAAGGCTCTTAATTCTGATTGAAACTCTTTACATAACACATGTGCAAGCTGCCACAAGAGGATTCACGACCTAAAAAGCTCCAAAACGGCCAAACACATTTCAAATTTTGGAGAGAAAAAAAGCAAAACTGTAAACCTATTTGCAGCATGTTTTAAACCCCCATTTCAATCAAAACACACTCCTGGTATCCCTAGGAAGCTTTAGCAATCAGAAACGAGTCAAGAACCTCAAGAAATCGCGCCATATAACTCATTCGATTTGCTTCATTTTTCAAAACTGTATATCACATTTCATAAGCATTTGATCCATTTTCTTTATTGTTTTGTATTGCTAGGGGCTTTCTGAAGCTAATAGGATAATCCAATTGCATTCTAACGCGTTAAATCATGATTCACCATTGAAGCATTTTAGGTTTTTTCAAGCTTAAAATTGGGGATTTCCCCATACTGTAAAATTGGAACCCCAAACACCCATGGTTGAATTGAGAAGGACAAGACGAATCCAATAGACCCATCGCTCCTTTTTTATATGGCCCCAATTCCTATTCTCTATTTTTTGCCGTTGCACTTAGTGGGGGTTAAAAACCCCCGTTATCCTATTTCTTTTTTGCAGGTATGAAGAAGAAGACGGTGACGTGTCCATATGCGTCTGGTTAATTTGAATTGGAGCGTGCGTTTTCTTTATTGCTAGCATATAATGCCGTTTTTCTATATAATATTTCTTTTGCATATTACTAACGAATGTGTTTGAGTGCCTCAGTGGTTGGGAACGTGTCATGCCATCCTTGGGACCTGGGTTCGAATCCCAGGTCCCCCCAAATAATTTCTATTATTTTGTTCAACTTGATTCCATGCAGCATAGTCAAAACAGGCCACCATGTGACTCCAAGATCCAAGCAGCCATGTGTCTTTCCATGCAGATCCAAAGGTCCATAAGGCCAGCACACCATACTCTGGAGTCAACGTGGGCATAGGTGATTAAAAAGTCAAACGAGGCTTCCTGCTAATGGGCCAAGATTCAACACCACACCCCCTTCCTGGCCCAGCACCCCCTCCATTTGGTTTATTATTTTCTTTTCATTTTATTTTTCAATTTAATTTCTAACCCTTTTTTAATTTTATTTATTATTAGTAATTAATCAATTAACCATTTTCATAAAAAACCCAAAAACTGAACTAATATTATTTTTATTATTATTATTTTATTTTTGTAAATAAATGTTAAATAATTAATTTAGTAAATTAGGTTTTAAAACTTTAACCTTTTCTTAAATAAATAAAATATGTAGAAATTAGGGTTTGTGACATTTTCATCTTTTTTTAATAAATAATTTTCTCATCATTATTATTATTATTAATTACTAAATATTTTTGTAAATAAACATGTACATTAATTAATTAGTAAATTAGGTCGACTTCAATATTTTTCATAAATAATAAAAATAACTTATAATTAGGGTTTTTTTTTTAATTTTAACCTTCTTTATTTCATAAATGCCAAAAACCTAAAAAACATTTCTTTTTTAATGAAATAATTAATTAACTTTTAATTCAATTTAATTTCAAAAGGGTCAAAACCCTCGGACATTCGATTCTAATTTCTTTTCGCGCAATTTATTTTCTTTCGAATATTATGTAACTGCTCAAGCCATGTAATAGTAATTATGTCTTTTTTACTTTCCGCATTTTTATCAAAACGGGTCTTTGTAATTTGGCGATGTATAGACCCGCGCCTTGTAATAGCGTAGGATTTATCTTTCCGCATTTGAATTTCCGCACTTTTAAATTCTAAACTTTGCATGAAAGAATGAATGTTAATTAAAAAACAAGCGTAGCTCACAACGATGCATGTTCAAAGATAAACCTTAACTGAAAACAACACACAAATACACACACCACTCTTAGGGTACGCCTCACCTGTTGCCTTGCCTTCGAAACGTGGTCGTCAAGTATAGGACATTTTAGTAAGTCCTTATGTCCATTGATCCGGTTGCCTCGGAATAAGTTGCCTCGGATTAAAAAAAGTATCAATGGCATAAGGGTAGCTTCTAAGGTGTCCTACTGTTGCTCTGGTGACCATACTGTCCCTACAAACGAATTGACTCGGACACCTCCAACGATGGTGCTACCTATCTCTCAATGGTGGGATAGCACTATCTAAAGGATACTTACACAGCTTAATTCCTTAGGGTGGGTAGATGACTCATGGGTACTTGCTCTTTTCAAAAACAAACAAAATACTTTTCACACCTTACACTTTCAAAAGCTTTCAAAACAAATTTTTCAAACACTCTTGAGGAAAGATACAAGAGTTATTCAGAAATCTTTCAAAGAAACTTTTTCAAGCCCACTCACATTTTGAAAAGCAAACACTTTTGAAAACATAAGAGCAAGTACCTAAGAGCCCGTGGATAACCACGGATAGAAAGGGTGCTAACACCTTCCCTTTCTATAAATCTACCTCCCGAACCGAAAAACATTCTCAAAGAAGGAATTTTGCTGTGCTTTTGTCCTTTCCATATTGGAGAACATAAAAGACGGTGGCGACTCTTGCTTCCGCGACATTTCGCGAACCAGCGTTAAACAGTCAGTTCTAAATCCACCGATCACAATGATGCTGTGGGCTTTGCTGGTATTCCTGGTATTCGTATCTTTTAGCTTTTGGTTTTATGATGATATCCCTGAAAACCTTTGCCTATTTGCTTCTTTTCCTCTTCTTCTGTTTGCCTCTGAATCTGAGAAATGTTGATGTTGTTGAACCTTATAGTTCTGATACTGATGCCCTTGATGATTTTTGATATCTGAGTATGTTTATGCTACTGTTGGCCCAATGATGAGGTTGCTCTGAGGGCTTTATTGGTTATTGCTTAATGATGAACATGATTCTGAGTATGGATTTGTGTAGCTTTTCCTCTCTTTGGCATTTGAGAGCTTTGTTGCTTTTTTCTGGTTGCTTTTGTTAACCCTATGAGGAATTTGATTCTGGGGGTTTGGTTGGTTTTTATGCTTCAAGGCTTGCGTTTTGATTTTGATGTTGGTTTGGGTATTTGGATGATGGTTGTTTTGACAGGCTTATCAGTATAGGCAGGCTTCAGGCTTGTGTAGAGGTTTGTTTCAGTTTGTATGGCTTTTTCTGGTTTGATGTATTGGTTGAAATAGGTCTGGCTTTTAGGAAGCTTTGGTTGTAGTTTATAACTTATGCAGGTTAAGGCTTGAGGTTTGTGGCTTGCTTCAGGCTTGAGACATGTTATAGGCTTGAAGCTTGTTTTGATACTGAGTTGAAAGAGGTTGTTCTGCCTTTGGCTTGTGGTGTTCTGGCTTGTTTGGGAACACAGGTTTTAATGCTGAGTTTGTAGATTACAGGCTTATTGGCTTGGCGCTGTAAGTTGGAAGGAAGGAGGTTTATGCAGGTTAAGGCTTATGGCTCTTAATGCAGTTTTGTGGCCTGTGTTATGTAACAGGTTTTTGAGGCAGTTTTTATGTTTTGACACAGTTTGTGTTGTTTTTTTGTTATGTGGTTCTGCCTCCTCTTCTTTGTAATGGTATATCTTTTGTTTTATATTCTTTTTCTAAGCCTCAAGCCTGTAAGCCTCTTCTCTCTCTTCTCTCTCTCTATCAGAAAAAGTATTTGTTTATTGCTTACTGTACTATTCTGAAAAAGTGATTGGCTGGGAAATGATGTAAAATTTGAATATTGCTTGCATTGTTAGTTTTCCTCTGCACATTCCAGATTTCCTGCATATTGGTGTACTTCTTGATATCTTTTTGACAGCCTTTTGATAGCTTTTGGACAGTTGGTTGACATTGGACTTGGTTTGCCATGTGCAGTTCAGTTTGCCTCTGTAGTTTGTACATGCTGTTTGTTCAATTTGCCTCTTTGGTTGACAATTTGGATTTATGCAGTATTGTAGCTTTGTGCATTTCATATTTTTTGCAAGCATATTTCTATCCCTCTTTGTGAACCAAGAGTTTTCTTGTGATTTGCAGAGAGGGTGAATAAACTGATTCCGGCCAGTCACTTTTAATGATGAGTCTTAAATTAACTGTCTGTCTTTTGATTTCATCTGTGTTGACTTCTTCCTTTTCTTGTGTTTTTGCAGATGAAAACCAATTGAGCCATGGGGAGCATCAGTAGAAGATGAAGACTTAGGAAACTTTAGGATGCAATTTTATTTTACTTTTAATCATTGTAACATTATTATTGTAAACAAAATGTAAATAAATTTACAGTGTTCCAATAATAATTTGTAACAAACAATTAAAGATGAATAAAAATCCTTCTTTGTCAGTTAATTATTTTTTTTCAATTCACTGTCCATATAATTATTTAATTTTCTTAAATTAAAATAAATGGAAGTAAATCCCAACTATTCTAACTTAGAATAATTAAATAATTAATAAACAACGGTAGTCTTGCCGCTTAGCATTAATCAATAATAAACCCGGCGTCCCAATTAAACATAAGCAATGCACAATCAATCAAACAAACATCCATATGCCTATCTCTTTACTGATTAAATCAAACCCTGCAAACTCTCGATCAGAAGCCTCAACCCATATCCCAGAGTAAATTGAAAAGCACTGTAGAATTAATTCTTTATGTGCGCACAAACCCTAGTTCTTGATTTATTGTCAAAGTAGCGCCTGCCTGATCAAACCCTGAGCCAAACTCAATCAAACCCTAATAATCTACTTGAGTTGTTCCAGAGTCCATGAAAACCTTGATTTGGATAGACTGATAAGAAAGAGTCTGTTTGAATGATTCTTACGCCAATCTGAAAAGTCAGGGAAAACCCGAAGTTGTGATTTCTTGTGGAAAAATAGGAGGGCAAATTTTGGGGTACAACAGTTGCCCCTGTTCAATCTTCTTGAACCTGAAGAGTTAGATTGACAAGTTTTCCTTTCGCGACTCGAGGGTAAAAGGAGATTGGACACTAGAGTGCCCAAAAAATTTGCACTCGGTGATGTGATGGTAGAGGAAATGGGCTTAAAGATGCCATTTGGTGATGGGCTTAAAGATGCCATCTGGAGATGTGACAGAATCTTGTCGGGAGATGGGCTTAGAGATGCCATCTGGAAATTGCTGGTAGGAGGATGGGCTTAGAGATGCCATCTGGAAATGTTTGGAGGAGGATGGGCTTATAGATGCCATCTGAAGGTGATTGTTGAACTGTATGTCATTGGTGAGTGGGTGAGTATCAGAAAGGTATCCATGTTTTGGAACGTCTCTGAATTGGGGGTCTAAATAAGCAATAGATTGACATCCGTATCTGGAAGCATCCGTAAACTGTTTTCAAAAGTCTTGGAATTGAATAAGCAATAGAGCAACATCCGTTGTTGGGAAGCGTCCGTAAACTGTTTTCAAAAGTCGAGTCTGAACAAGCGATAGATTAACATCCGTGTTTGGAGAATCCGTAAACTTTTTTCAGAAGTTGAAGAGTCTGAACGAGAAATAGGTTAACATCCGTGTCAGGAGAACCTGTAAACTGTTTCCAGAAGTCTTGAAGTTGAATAAGCAATAGAGCAGCATCCGTTGTTGGGAAGCGTCCGTAAACTGTTTTCAAAAGTCGAGTCTGAACAAGCGATAGATTAACATCCGTGTTTGGAGAATCCGTAAACTGTTTTCAGAGGCTGAAGAATCTGAATAAGCGATAGGTTGACATCCGTGTCTGGAGAACCCGTGAACTGTTTTCAGAAGTCTTGAAATGAGAAGGAACCGGTGTAGGGTTTCCTGATGATGAGTCCGTGTAAAACTGCATCTGAATGAATCTGGAATAAGTATCAAAATGTCGCCATGTCTGGGTCACATCTGAACTATCTCTGGGTGAATCTGGAATAAGTATCAGAATGTCGCCATGTCTGGGTCACATCTGAACTATTTCTAGAAAGAATCTCGGAAGATGAAGATCTTTGTCTGTTGACTGATCTTTCCTGAAAAGGTAAAGAGTTAGTTATATGCAATGTCATGATGCATGATGCAATGTATGTTATATCAATGTTTATGATATGAATGTGATGAATGCGCATGTAAGTTGATGAGCGTTCTTGCTGAGGATAGATGAATCCTGGATGGCCGGAGATAAAAGAATCTTGACTGCTGCCGGGGAAAGTAATTCCTTGACTGCTGCAGGGGATTGAAAATCCTTTGATCATTGAAAATGAGAAGTCCTGGGACCACTGTTGGGGGATCAGGAGCTTGGGTTGTATGCCAATCTACTGGGGATTCATGTCTTGAGGAGATCTTCACTGGGGAATACCTGAATATCCTGTGAGGAACTGAGAATGAGAGTCTTCATTCTGCTTGGGGATTGATAGTTGGAAATTTTAGCTCCGCTGGGGATTGCAAGAATCTTTTGATTGCTGCAGGTGTTGATCTGGGATCCTGAAAAGGTTGGTCAAGGAGATACTGTCCTGGCTGGTTTCAGGTATTGATCTCTGACCTGAGAAAGAAAGATAGTTTTCCTGGATTATTACAGGTATTAATCTTCAATCTCTTCATGTAGATAGTTTTCCTGGCTTGTTACAGGTGTTAATCCATAATCAGTCGTCCACAGTTATTTTCCTGGCTTGCTACAGGTATTAATATGGAACTTAAGAAAGGTTGGTCAAGGAGATACTGTCCTGGCTGGTTTCAGGTATTGATCTCAGACCTGAGAAAGAAAGATAGTTTTCCTGGCTTGTTTCAGGTATTACTCTTCAATCTCTTCATGTAGATAATTTCCTGGCTGGTTTCAGGTATTAATCTACAATCAGTCGTTCACAGATAGTTTTCCTGGCTTGTTACAGGTATTGATCTGGAATTTGGGTTAAACGCCACTTTGAGAATGAGAATATTCATTTTATTGGGGGTCAGAAATTGGGAGTGTACCAATCTTCTGAGGTGAAGAGAATCTTCATGCTGTTAACGGTCAGAAACTGGGAGTATACCAATCTTCTGAGGTTTTAAGGATGAGAGTCTTTATTCTTGAAGGTTAACTGTTATCTGGTCGTAATCCAGGCTTCACAGAAATTGCTAAGCTGTTATCCGGTCACATCCGGGCTTCACGGCTTGTGTTAAAGATATACCACTATCTGGTCGACTCCAGGTTTCGTAGTATTCTTGACTGCTGTCTGGTCGTAATCCAGGCTTCACAGAAACTTGTATTATCATCTGGTCGTAATCCAGGCTTCACAATAGCTTGTTAAGCTGTTATCTGGTCAAATCCGGGCTTCACGCCTTAGGTTAAAGATATACCACTATCTGGTCGACTCCAGGCTTCGTAGTATTCTGGGCTGCTATCTGGTCGTAATCCAGGCTTCACAGAAACTTGTATTGCTATCTGGTCGTAATCCAGGCTTCACAATAACTTGTATTGCTATCTGGTCGTAATCCAGGATTCACAATAGATTGTTGGGGATTAAACTATTATCCGGTCTAATCCGGGCTTCATAGCTTGCTCTTAGGAGATACCACTATCTGGTCGTAATCCAGGCTTCGCGGTGGTCTGATATTGTGAATGAGTGACAGAATGGCTGCCGTGTCTGGAGCGTATCTGAAACTGTATCTTGGAGTTAAGATCTGTATGAGTAGCAAAATGACTTCCTTGTTTGGAGTGTATCTGAAATTGTAACTGGGATCTGAATGAGTGACAGAATGGCTACCGTGTCTGGAGTGTATCTGAAACTGTATCTTGGAGTTGAGATCTGTATGAGTAGTGTTGTACCCCAATTTTTGACCTAAGATCCCATTTTTATTTTTGCATTTTTAAAGATAAGTCAAGGTCACGAAATACGGTCGGTTTTAACGTCTCACCTTCGAGCTTTGACTGTGCGAAGATTGTCAAGTGTTTTGAACATTTTTAGCCCATGTATCACTAATTTCTAATCGCATACAAAGGTGTATGTTCATGTTTTCTTTTGTGTCATGTGCAGAGACAGGTCTGAATCAAGAGCATCAGGTGTCGCGCCTCAATTAAGGTTTTGAGTCTCCCGAGCCAGAAGTACGGTTGATTGTGGATTCTCGAAGACTGATTCATCAAGGCACAACTGTTGCACCCTAAATTTCGCCCCTAATATGTTTTAGTCGCACTTTCATATCATATTTTGTTATTTGGTCACGATCATTAGTAAATATCTTCATTCATCATATTTTGCATCATTAGTCGTATTTAAGTTGACCAGAAAAAAGTCAGTTTAAATCAAAGTTTGTATCGTCTTTCAGTTGTAAAATACCCGACATTTTGCTTCATGCATTTTTATCTATTTACTCATTTGTTGCATTGCTCCAAGTTGTTTATATGTTGATAATAAAAATATTTTGGTTTTATAGACAAACTGTTAAAAACCATTCAACAATGTGCGAAAATTAGTAGCGAGAAAATATTTCAAGTTTTCACCTTTTTACCGATCATTTTATGAATCTGCGTTTCGCGTGGATTATGACGGTATGCTCGCTTTATTTTTTCGGTACAGTTCGAAGTCTCGTTTTTAACCTTAAACGTCTGTTTAGTCTGATATTTTTATTATTATTTTATTTTTGATTTTTTTTGACTTCTTGAATATTTTTTCTTTAATCTTTGTGACATGTAGATTATTTTAATGTGTTCATTTTATTTTTTCGGATAAGTTTTCGTCCGTTTTTTTATCATTTTCGGTCATTTTGGGTCTTTATTTTTTATTCATAAAATATTCAAAAAAATTATTTTTAATTGAGTTAATTTAAATACTTTCTGTTTTTTATTTCATTTTATCATTAAAAGGGCTTTTTAGTCACAAAATATATTATTCACACAATACTCTATTCCTATTGGCTGTTGGATGAAAATGAGGATCGATACACACACAATACTCTATTCCTATTGGCTGTTGGATGAAATTGAGGATCACCTTCACCATTCACCATTCACCTATTGGTTGTCACAAAAATCACCTTCACCATAAAAAAACTAACATTCATAAACACATAAAGGGGGAAAAAAACAAAAACACAATAAAAAGCAATACACTAGCCACATCCAGAACTCCCTCTCACAACTCCTTCCACGCCATACCCTTCCACCTCCTTTGATTATCCCACCATCCTCAACATCACCTTCTGTCAAACAAAAAACGCACAGTATAACCCCTCCCACCATATCCACAATCTCAGTAATACACCCTCTCTCTCAAACCCGTCATCTACGCTTCCCTCCTCCAAACTTGCGTCAAAACCTCCTCTTTCCACCAATGGCGATTTTGCATTCAGGTTCTTTAACGTTACTGATGAACCTAACCAGTTTAGTGTCGGCATTGGTTTCAATTCAAAGTCTATTCCTTATAGCCAACAAACACTTGTTTGGGTTGCTGGTGGTCATGTCAAAGTAAGCAACATGTCGTATTTTCAACTTACTTCACAAGGGGAGCTTGTCTTGGTTGATTCGTTACACGGAGTCACTGCGTGGACTAGTGGAACGGGAAACAAATCTGTTGTTTCGGTGGTTCTTCACGACGATGGAAATCTTGTTCTTGTAGACGCAAAACAAACCATTATTTGGCAAAGTTTTGATAATCCTTCTGATACACTACTCCCAGGACAGAGATTACATGTATCCAAGACACTTCGTGCTTCATCCAAGAACCTAGAGACTAGTTACTATAGTCTTTACTTGAATGCTTCTGGTCGGTTGCAGCTTCGCTGGGAAAGTAATACTGTATACTAGACAAGTGAAAGCCATTCTTCTACTGAAAATCTCACTGCGACCATCACATCCGATGGATCTCTTCAACTTCAAGACCAACATTCAAGAGCTATTTGGAGTGTGTTTGGAGAAGACCACAACGATTCTGCGAACTATCGATTTCTTAGGCTAGATTTTGATGGCAATCTCCGGTTATATTCTTGGATGGAAGATTCGCAGTCATGGAGATCTGTTTGGCAAGCTGTCGAGAATCAATGCAAGGTCTTTGCTACTTGTGGTGAACGTGGTGTCTGTGTCTTCAATGCTTCAGGTTCGGCTGAGTGCAGGTGCCCTTTCAAGACAATTGAAACTAACAAATGTTTGGTTTCGAATAACAGGATTGTGGTTCTCTTACCGAAATGAAAATGTACAAGAACTTGTATCTATATGGAATTTATCCTCTTGACGATTTGATTGTCACAAGTAGTTTGCAGCAATGTGTACAGTTGTGCCAGAATGACTCCGAGTGTACAGTTGCAACCTTTTCGAACATCGGTAGTCCACAATGTTCCATAAGGAAAACAAAATACATAACTAGCTATCAAGTTCCATCTCTAACCTCAATATCATTTGTTAGGAGTTGCTCAGATCCAGTTGGTGTAAATCTCAGTTTCACTATGTCACCTCCATCAGAACCGTCTCCTCACAGGCATTGTGTTCCTTGCTTGATAGGAGCAGCCTCAGGAACATTTGTCATTGTTGGTTTTGTCCAGCTGGGAATTGTTTTCTTCATATGTAGACGGAAAAATTCTACTATGAGAAGAGTCACACTAGCATTCACATTCCCCTTTCCTTTTCACCGGTTCTCCTTCAACCTCTCTTGCCGCGCACCATCTTCAACGAAGAACAACACCCGCAATCGGTACTTTCTCTTCTACTTTTTTAATGTTGTTTGTTTCATATTGTGATATATTGTTACATGCTTAATTTGAGGGAGGTGAAAGTCATGCTTGAGATCTGATGTTACTTTTGGGCTTCAAGAAGAAGAAGGCTGAGTCTGCGAAGAGAGAGGAAACCAATAAGATAACTACTGTCTCTCTATTCACGTGTTATTCCCCTGTTATTACTTTTTTATTACTATTTTTTCTCTTTCAATTTCAAATATCAACAACACTTTTTTTTAGACTCATTTTCCTTTCTAATTAATATTTTGAATTGAAATTAATGTGATGTGTTTCTTTTAGTTGAATTGTAGAGTTTTTGAAAAAATTGTGTTAAAATGGGTATTGTTGAAATTTTTAGTTTTTTTGTTGTCAATTTTGGAGAATTTAAATTTAGTTTTAATAATTAATTTGTTCCTCATTAGTTTAGAATTTTTTAAATTGGAACTATGGAGTTTAATGCATAGATATAATGGTTGTCTAAAATTTGGTTTAATTGAATAATTCTTGAATTGGAATCAATTTTCTGTGTTCGATTTTGAATTGAATAATTTCATGAATTCTTGATTTTGATTTGTGTAAATATTCATTTATTCACGTGTATTAATACTATTTTATTTTTGATTTTATACTCACTAACACATATTTTAATTGTTGCAATTTCGTTTCATTTTAATTTGTATACCGCTTATGCTACTAACAAATTTGCTTACTGTGAAGGTTTTCGAGAACAATTTCAAGCGTTCGTTCCCGCTTAGCGCATTTGTAATTTTTCTTTATTTCCTTTTTACCTTACTATTTTGATTTAATATTTGGTACTGTAAATACATACTTGTACATAATATTTTGACTGTATATTTTACTTGTAAATAAATTCAGGTTTTTTTGAAAATATTATTTTCGCATTATGATTTTATTTTTTATTCCAACTAACTTCTGAAAATTGTGCGGACGCACATAAGTTTCCCGTGTTGTTAGATTTTGTAGGTATATCTCTTGTGATGCAGGGATTCTTATCTGACACTGTGAGCTTTATCCACCGCCTTTGCGCTTTATCCGATGCTTGGAATATTATCTCACATTAGGTTTTTTGATGATGCTGTCGGCTTGTGATTTATTTTCACCTAAGGTTTGATATACTCTTAGCTTATTTATCCGTCTGTGGTTTTAACTCCAAGGAAAAGATTTAAATTTTGTTGACTTCATGTCATCGAACATATCTCATACGATTGCGCGAATCCCTTCATTCATTTTTTTGCTTGGTTGCTATTTTGCTAAACTTAAGATAATTTTCCAAAAGACTCAATTTTAAAACTCACACCTTTTAAGTCAAAAACTTCGACATTAGCTCGTCGGATTTTCAAAAATCTCGTCCACACCTATTTTTAATCAAACAAACAATTTTAACCAAAAACAGATATTTCAAAAGGTTCCTGTGGAGTACCGCAGATGCATTGGGTGCTAATACCTTCCCGTTGTATAACCAACCCCCGAACCCTCGATCTCTTTTAAAAACGCATTGTATTTTCATTACTTTTAAATATTAATTTACATTGCATACTTTAGGGTTTTATTTCGCTCTTTTCCCTTTTCCCTTGGAAACAATAAAGCACGGTGGAGACTCTTGCTTTTTGTGAGTCAAGTTAATTAATAGCTTGATCTCCGATTTTCACCGCTACAAGTAGCAGAATGACTTCCTTGTTTGGAGTGTATCTGAAACTGTAACTGGGATCTGAATGAGTGATAGAATGGCTACCGTGTCTGGAGCGTATCTGAAACTGTATCTTGGAGTTGAGATCTGTATGAGTAGCAGAATGACTTCCTTGTTTGGAGTGTATCTGAAACTGTAACTGGGATCTGAATGGGTGACAGAATGGCTACCGTGTCTAGAGCGTATCTGAAACTGTATCTTGGAGTTGAGATCTATATGAGTAGCAGAATGACTTCCTTCTTTGGAGTGTATCTGAAACTGTAACTGGGATCTGAATGAGTGACAGAATGGCTACCGTGTCTGGAGCGTATCTGAAACTGTATCTTGGAGTTGAGATCTGTATGAGTAGCAGAATGACTTCCTTGTTTGGAGTGTATTTGAAACTGTATCTTCCAACAGGTGATGAAGGAATTGTTGAACACTTTTGACATTCGAATGCCCCAAGTGATGATGAAGGAGACTTTCCCCAAGTTCACTGAACTTTTGAGAGATTTGTTGAAATTTTGACTGGACTGCCCCAGGTTAATTGAGCTTTGAAAGATTTTGTTGAAATCTTGACTAGACTGCCCCAGGTTAATTGAGCTTTGAAAGATTTTGTTGAAATCTTGACTGGACTGCCCCAGGTTAATTGGATAGTGACATGTCACGCCCCCTTGTTGATAGGAGATTTTTGTAATGGAAGTGTCATCCTTTTTGAAGTGATTTTGCTCACTGAGAGAGTTTTCGTTCCTCCGAACATTCGCTGTATGAATTTCTTTGCTGTTAAACAAATAACCATGTGCAAACAATGATATTCAAATAATGCAAAGTTTATGCTTGTCTCGAAGTTTTGAAAAATGCGTTTTTTAGCAGAAAACTTTTCATAAGACAGATTTAGCACAAGATTTAGGGCAAAGCCTTACAGGAGTCAGGATACCTTTTTGTAACAGTATGCTTTCGAACTAACCCATGCTTCAATTAGGACTTTTGAAGGGTTGTAACGTGGCTTGGTTCACGGTTTAAGAAACAAAGGATAAAGGCTCAAAGTATATTTGTACCCACCCGCTCTTCGTGATGTCCTTCAGTCCTAAACTCAGTTAATTGTGCGTCGAACTCTGTTCGAGTTTGGAACGACCTTTTTTTGTGATGGTTCACACAAGTTGGATTTTATGGAAGGCAGTCATCCTCTTTTTTGCAACACTTTTCATGTTGTTGAGGATTTGTAGTGACCTCGTTCTTTTGATTTGTTATCCCTAACTTTTGCCTGACTGTTCCTGTTTTCGAGATCACAGTCAGCGGGATGCCCCAGCTTTCTTAAGCCTCCTTTATAGGTTTTGACTTAATGGGTTTTTCTTTTTTGAGAGATAATGACTGCCTATGAGATAAGGAACCATCACTGTCTTTTGATTCCAGAGGAATGCTTTTTTGTTGATGTCGTTCGTTGTATTACGAACTGATAGTTTGCGACTTCAATGTGCATCTTTTTTTTGAATTAACTGAGATACTACCCTGCCCCAGGTTTATATCAAAGGTTGATTTGTTTAGAACATAAAACTCCTACTTCTTTGGATCGAAGGGGTTGACTAGGGATTATCTTCCTTATAACTCCAGTGTTTGGGAATTGAAAGAAATGCTTGTACATCATCAACAAGGTATGCTCAAAAGCATACTGTATGAGATTACGGTATTGTTTCGTCATCCTCCCTCTAAAGGCTTGTAGCTTTTTATCAAGAGTTAAATATCATAAAGAAAGCATAAGAGTAGTGAAAACGAATGGATGAATTCAAGACAAACATATGCAATGCATTAATGAAACAAAGTTTGACATTAAAAGATAATTGTTTGAATAACAAAGAGATTACAACTTGAAAATCCAAATGAAACAAAAGTCTTTTAGTTTGAGCTTTGTCACTTCAGGTGGAGAAACCCTTAACGGAAGATTTTCATCTCGCCATCGGGCATGAACCTCAGCACCCCAATGTCAATCAGATCTTGAATCTTGTTCTTCAAGGCCCAACAGTCGTCGGTGTCATGTCCTGGACTATAGGAGTGGTATACACAAAATGCGTCGGGATGATAGTTAGGAGCGGAGGTATTGGGCTTCCGAATATGATCCCTCAAAGCAGTCAGATTGACCTCCAACAAGCGCTCCAGTATTAGAGATGACGGTATGTCAGTCTCAGTGAACTGTCTTCCCGACGTATTTTGCTTACGCCGATTACCCCGTTGATGCTGACGAGGTTGTTGATGGGCTTGTGACCCTGAAGCAAGTAGAGGAGCCTTCCCCTTGTCTTCTTGAGTGGTGACTTGCTCTTCAACCTCAGATGTTTGCCCCAGTTGGTTTTCCCGAAGCAATTGGTTGACGAGAACCCTGAGCTCTTCTTGTCTTTGAGCCAGGTCCTGGATAAGAGCCATCTGGCCCACCAGTTGCCCCAACATTTGGATCCTCATTGTAGTAAGCTCAGATTGTAGTGCCTCCAACTGATCACTCCTGGCATTGCTTGAATTCCCCTGGACCATGCCTGTTGTGAGGAGAGCTTTCACTTCTTCTTGCCCCAGGGATAGGTTCAAGAACATTTCTTAAAGTTGAGCATTTTGGTCCTGGATATCCTTGACAATCCTCTCTAGAGCCATCTCTACTGAAATAAACAGTAGGAGAGTAAGGAAACCTGAAAAGGAAAAACTGTCATGATGCAATGCATGATATGTGAATGCATGTTTTCAAGGATCTCTTGGGGTAAACACAAGAGAATGTTAGAAGTTGAACTTCGATCTTTGATTGGAGAACTTTGCACCTGTGGATGTCTTTCAACGAGAATCAAGCTCACCATGTCAAGTGGGTCATAGCCCCTGATTCAAGTTGTTGCACTTGATCCTTGATGGCATTTGTTTAGAGGAGAAACCTCTTGCCCTTTGGTAGACGTCTGGTTCAACGTGACCCGGCATCAAAAGACCCTCAAGATCCTTGAAATGGTTATTGAAAAAATGCTATGGTATGATGTCATGATGTTATGTACATGTATGCAAAAACAAGCAAGTGTATGTATAGGTAATCATATTCACACAAAGAAAACAAGTCCTTAGGTTTAGGCTTGCATGGGGTTCATAGGTAAGTACCCTCTTGAAGTTAGTTGGCTCATCCTGTCCTAAAATAGAAACCGGGTTCTAAGGAGCTCAATATCATTGGATTATTTTCTGTGTTCATTGTTTTGGTTTAGCCACTTAACTGGCGACCAAAATATTCCAAGAAAACAACCCTCAATGAGTGTAGTATCGAGTATCTACCAACTTCGGATTGCACCAAAGTCGGTCATCTCACTACCCCTAAAAAGGCTAA